CGTCTCTCCCTTTGGTTGTTGATGTCTCTACCCTTTGGTTGTTGATGATCGGCGCAGTTCCTGGTGCAGGCTCTCCGACGGCTTCGACGACCGTTCCGCGCGTCGTGAGTATAGACCCCCTTTCCGTGTGATCCGCGGCGTGATCCGCGGCGCCGTTCCAGACCGCTTCCGCGCGCGCGAGGATACGTAGCCGAGCCGAGCGGACAGCGGACTCGCGGCGGCATGGCAGCGCGGGTTCACGCCGAAAGCGCCGAGTCACAGCGCGCGCACGCTTCGTCCTTGCAGGGTCACCGGCGATCTCGCGCGCGATCGTCGCGACGACCGGGCGACGTGGGTGTGCCGCGCGTCGGAACGTGCACGCGGATCACGCCGGATCACGCGGCACGTAAGGTGTTGTATGATACATGTTTAGACTTTCATTAAATAATCTACTATTTTGTGAAACAAAACAATTCCGTCTCTCGGCAGTCTCGGCGGCGAAGAAAGCACGACGGGGGTCCGTTTCCGCGACCCGGCACACGTCACTCGAGCGAGGGAAAGGCAGTTTTCCGTTCCCCGAGAAGAACGCGCGTGGCGCACGCGGTACGCGCGTTCTTAAATAAATATATTGACGGCACGTTTAACTCGTGCAATAAGGTTTCAGTGCCGAGTACAGGGCAGTTAGCATTGGATTTAAGGTTTTGTGAATTAATCAGAAATATATATTTGCGTATCAAAAGATGGAAGAAGTTCACGCATTATTAAAGCGTTGGGGTTTATCCCAACCCGTTATTGATAGATTCAGAGGTAAGTTTACTTCTATTGTAAAAACTGCATGACTGTGATTTTCTGTGCTTACTTCTCTCACTTATATATGTATGCAAAATTACCGTTCGGCATCATTCCACGATCTCACAATCATGACGTATATATTCTTTTATCTTCTAATTTGATAGGTAAAAGAATATTCGCTATGACTGTGATCACACGGAATGATGCCGAACGGTAATTTTGCATACATATAAGGTTAGAAGTAAGCATCCTGAACGATAATTTTGCATTGTGCGTGCGTGTGTGTGTGTGTGTGTGCGCGCGCGCGCATACATACATAAAAACATACATTCATATATATGTATATACTAGCTGATTACCCGGGCTTCGCCCGGAAATCGTTTTTCTTAAAACGTGCAATCTATATATACAATATATAAATTGTATCCATGCACACAAGTCAATATTTTAAAAAATTTGATTTACACTATTATGGCTTTTACCCTTCCATATATATATCTTCACAATTTGCCTCTTAATTTAAAAAATTAAATGTATTAAGTTTTATTATTTTTAGAAAATCAAATACGATTCAGACATCTCACTAAATTGACAGAATATACAATAGAAAAATTAATACCTAATGCTGGTGAACGCATTGATTTCATGGATCATTTGCAGCAATATAAAGATAAACATCAGGATGTAAATATTATAATAGAATACTTATATATATATTTATGAGAATGTATTAAATAAACTTAAATTTGTAATGATTTTTTTTAGGTTTCTATTGATCAATTCACATCAGTTGATACATCTTGCATTACAGACAAAGATAAAGGTATTTATGCATAAACTATTTTGAGCGTATTATACTGCATTTTTTATTTATGAATTTGTGTTTCTGCATACTTATTAAAAAAATATGTTTTTTTGCAATTACTTAAAGTATCTTTATGATTTTTTCCAGAGTCTGAAAAAAGCGACTACACTTCCTCAACATCAAGTGTTGCAAGTGTTGCGAGTAACAATGTGGTACATTCGCAAGCTTGTCTGCCTACACAGGCAGACAAGTTTATTCCTTCTACTTCACGACAGACGTCGGAAAAAGATTTTTCTGATCCTCCCGCAAAGCGACTACGTGTCGAAAATAATGAATACGTAAGTAAATTGTAAAACAACAAAAAAAAAGAATTTATTAAAAATTGTAATTTTACTTGCAGGATTTATTGACGTTACTGCAATCGTCAACTTATGGAAAAATGATATTGGGACATTTCCATATAAATGAATGTCTTAACAATGATATGCGCAAAATGCTTGCAGACGAAATTATTAATAAAGAATTAAGTATCGATATTAATGCTCGGTAAGTTTAGATATTTATGCTCGGTTTGTATTTGAAAGCTTTGTAAACAGATTTTTCTGTTAATTATAATTGTTTTGGTAATTAATAGTTTATTTTGTTGTGTTTCAACAGTATTTCAACTGAACGGGTGGAATTTCTCACCAAGGAAGTTATTAAACTTTTCCCATCTGAGATAGAGGTTAGTAATTGTCAATTATGTGTAGCATTATCCTTTATAATTACAACTTAAATCAGTATAGGAAAAATTTGTTTTATTTTAGGCTTTATGGAAGGGAGCATATGGACAAGGTAAAAATCGTCGAGAAACTTCTGCCGGAAGAGGCATGTTAATACAAAGATACTACAACATACGTAGAAAACTACGAAAATGTGGCATTTTGTCAAAAGAATCATCACAACGTGCCCATGTAGAAGAACTTGTTACTTCAGATAATATAAATATTGATTTAAAAAATAATATTTCTTTTATATATCTATCTATTTATTTCTTTTCCAGTATAGTTTCACTGTTCTTTTTCTTTTTTTTAATATTATTTTAATTCATTTTTATATTAGGTTCTTGTACAGTGTAGTAAATTTTTGTTTTAACATTCTTTTTGCAGATGAAGAATTTGACGACAATGTTGACGATGACGTACAATGGTTGAAGAATAACAGTAAACCGTGGGCCAAAGTTTTGGAATTGTGGGACAAAACCAGTAAAAATAGACTAGAGTCACTTAAAAAAAAAGGAACCGCTGTACATTTTTATATGGATTTATTTCCTGCTTTAAAAACTCCAAACGGTTATTTACTGGTATGTTCATTTAACAAAATATGTGAAATGTTTTTTAAGAATTGAATTATAACATATAAGATCTTTTCTTTTGTTTTACAGTTGGAACTTGATTTTAACAAAATGTATCCTACATCTGGAATGAAGTTATATACTGAGTTATCAAACCTTACGGCTTTTATTAAAAAAAAAATTACAATTGAGAAAGAAAGATCAAGCATTGACGATTGTTCTACCCCAGGTAAAGAAATGTCATTTTTCCTGTTTATTTTCCTGTTTATTATGTTTTCAAAAATAGATGTTTATTAATGATATAC